ACATTGAACGACTGCAAGTATTGTACAATTTAAACCACACTCACCACTTACGTTTTCCTTGATTGTCAAGTGGTGTAGTTTCTTGTCGGATTATGAATTGGGCGACTACAGTTTCAACTAATGTGCCGACCACAACGTCGAAATGTAGTTTAAACTTGTGCTCCTACACTTTCATGTGATTATGGGAATGAATGAGACAAAATGAACATAAAATGAGTAGAAACGTCATCCATACGTTCAAAATGATTATATGCCGTTTTGGGTCACGAGGGATCGGTTTCACTCCCAAATTAGTAAAACATGCTTTAGGACATCATACATGACCCGTACACATTGAACGACTGCAAGTATTGTACAATTTAAACCACACTCACCACTTACGTTTTCCTTGATTGTCAAGTGGTGTAGTTTCTTGTCGGATTATGAATTGGGTAACTACAGTTTGAACTAATGTGCCGACTGCAATGTCGAAATGTTGTTAAAACTTTCGCCCCTATACTTTCACGTGGTTACGGGAATGAATGAGCCATAACGAACACAAAATGAGTAGAAACGTCATCCATACGTTCAAAACGATCATACGCCGTTTTGGGTCACGAGGGATAGGTTTCACTCCCAAACTAGTAAAACATGCTTTAGGACATCATACATGACCCGTACACATTGAACGACTACAAGTGTTGTGTAATTTAAACCACACTCACCACTTACGTTTTCCATGATTGTCAAGTGGTGTAGTTTCTTGTCGGATTATGAATTGGGCGACTACAGTTTCAACTAATGTGCCGACCACAACGTCGAAATGTAATTTAAACTTGTGCTCCTACACTTTCATGTGATTATGGGAATGAATGAGACAAAATGAACATAAAATGAGTAGAAACGTCATCCATACGTTCAAAATGATTATATGTCGTTTTGGGTCACGAGGGATCGATTTCACACCCAAACTAGTAAAACATGCTTTAGGACATCATACATGACCCGTACACATTGAACGACTGCAAGTGTTGTACAATTTACGCCACACTCACCACTTACGGTTTCCTTGATTGTCAAGTGGTGTAGTTTCTTGTCGAATTATGAAGTGGGTGATTACAGTTTGAACTAATGTACCAACTTCAACGTAAAAATGTAGATTGAACTTGTGCTCCTATACTTTCACTTGGTCACGGGCATGAATGAGGCAAAATGAACACAAAATGAGTAGAAATGTCATCCATACGTTCAAAATGATTATATGTCGTTTTGGGTCACGAGGGATCGGTTTCACTCCCAAACTAGTAAAACATGCTTTAGGACATCATACATGACCCGTACACATTAAACGACTGCAAGTATTGTGCAATTTAAACTACACTCACTACTTACATTTTCCTTGATTATCAAGTGGTGTAGTTTCTTACCGGATTATGAAGTGGGTGACTACATGTTGAACTAATGTGCCGATCACAACATTGAAATGTAGTTTAAACTTGTGATCCTACACTTTCGCGTGGTTACGGGCGTGAATGAATCAAGACGAACACAAGATGAATAGAAACGCCAGACATACGTTCAAAACGATCACATGCCGTTTTGGGTCATGGGGGATCGATTTTACTCCGAAACTAGTAAAAAATGCTTGAGGACATCAAACATGACCCGTTTTGCATATATATCCATAATAAACGTAAATGAATAGAATTGAACATTAAATGAGTAGAAACATTAGGCGTCGGGAATCTTAACCGATGTTTCACAAAGATTCAGACAAACAACTTCTTGTGAATTGCCAATAATCTCATCTACCAATGTCAACTGTGTATTTTGAGTAACATTGTCTTCATTTATCACATGAGAATCATTCATATAGTTGCCATGCACTATTTCCACCCCATCCCAATACTCATCGCTTGTAAAATTCACACACTCGTTTTCACAATTTTGATTAAATGGAGACAACAGTTGCATATAATTGTCATCGAACTTATCTTTTTGCATATTGCATTCAACCACATTATCCACAACAACGTTTGAATTGTGTTCATGATTCTCTTGAACATTTATCATATCAAGCTCCATGTTTTGTTGATTATCATTACTTTTTTCCAGAAGGGTTACACAAATTGGAACTTGGTCATGCAAAGAGAGAAACCAACTAACATCCATATCGCAAGTAATCTTCATTGGCAGAACTGCTAATTTTACCATTCCAGGAACGAGAAATTTCATCTGATGTCATACATAACGGGATCAACTTTAACTACTTTTCGGACTTCTTCATATAACTCCGTATATGAAATAGTCTTTGACACAAAAATATTTGTTGCAGTTTCTTGATCATTTCCTATCCATTTCCAAATCCATCCTCCTTGATCACTCTTTTCAAATTCAACAAAATAACAAATGACAATCATCGCTCCAGAGTCCATATCTGCAATTCAATAAAAAAATGTAATATATTACCCCATTAATTGTAAAAACTGAATACTATAAAATATAGCTACAGTAACAAATAGAAGGCAGCCCACATTGTCACATAATTGATTTTAAGCAGAAAAAACTGTAATCTGTAGTTTAAAATGTGTATGTGCCATTTCAATTTGTTTACAATAATAAAATGCTACAAAAGAATAGAGGAATGACTAATTTACAAGCAACTATATCAATACCACCATTGTCATATTACAACAGCATACAACTACAGGAAAACGACATCCAATTACAGGAAAACGGCACCATTCCGTTTTTATATTTCACAACAAATTTTGCTTACCCAATTGATTTTTTATAGTATACAACTAGAAAACAACAAGAAATCGTTAATTT